AGACTTACTTAGAGATCCAAGTAATTGTAGAAACTCTTTATGAAAATATTCCACAAGTTTAGCTTCTACGTCTTGAATGGAGAGTGCACCAGGTGGAGTGAATGCACGTGTGTTAAATCTAGAATACAACAATTAAACAAATCTCACGTACTGTTCATCTTATGACCTACTCAAATGGTAATAATGAAAACACTGGGTTTTAATTTTTCTAAATTGAATATATGTGAATTTGTAAAACTACAATGCAAGACATTGTTTTCTTGACAAAAGTGAATTTACAAATATAGGCAAATAGTGAAATTAAATGAAAATAAAAGGTTTTACAGTATTGCAAGATTCTACTTACTTGTGACAAGGGTCTGATATAACTCTGTGAGCCAAATCTCTTTCAGATCTTGACATAAATTTCAGGAGAAATTCTTTGTAGTTAACATTACCATCTGAGGTTGTCACAGAACACCTATAAAAATATAAATAAATGTCTACCAAATATACATATAATGCAAGGTCTGTGGGTCGTCCCAAGTAGGTCTGACAGTCATTCTAAAAAAGAGATCAGTTGGTCTTCCCAAAAAGGTCTGTCTGAGGGTCAGCCGAAATAACACATGCACTGAATGTAACAAAATATATGTGCTTTTGAAAGTATATCTATATAACAAATCCTTAATTCTTAAATGATTAAAAAATTAGATAATTATATTATAACAATAACAATAATACAATACAATGTTCAATACAATGTTATATAATGTTCATTGATGTTTAACACACATGTATCAATTTAGTAGATTGTAAGATGGTAATTGACTAATTACATAGTTCACACATCAAAGCAGACATTTTGCTTTGCTTTTTTGACTTTCCCTTCACTTCATTAATTACGAGTAAGCCAAAAATGGTCAACATGCAGTTGACCATATTGAATTATCCCAATATGTTCACCTTTAACCCATTATAATAATAATAACTTTATTGCCTCCATGTAAAAAGATTTACATAGGATAAGTACAGCAAAAAAGAGTTTTAAAATAGTAACAAGATATATGTAAGAATTGTACAAACAACAATACAAAAGGACTTAACTAGTATTTAAATGTTAAATAAATCTTTTTGTTGTGTAAATATAATTGGCAAGTTCTATAATTATGTCAGGATCTTTGCTTTGCATTATGTTCACTCAACCCAATATGTTCACCTTCAACCTAATATGTTCACCTCTAACCCAATATGCACCTCCAACCCAATATGTTCACCTTCAACCTAATATGTTCACCACTAACCCAATATGTTCACCTTCAACCCAATATGTTCACCTCTAATGCAATAAATTCACCTCTAACCCAATATGTTCAGCTCTAACCCAATATGTTCAGCTCTAACCCATTATGTTCACCTTCAACCGAATATGTTCACCTTCAACCTAATATGTTCACTTCTACCCCAATATGTTCACCTCTAACCCAATACATTCACCTTCAACCCAATATACTATACACCTCTAACCCAATATGTTCAACTTCAACCTAATATGTTCACCTTCAACCTAATATGTTCACCTCTAACTCAATAGATTCACCTTCAACCCAATATATACACCTCTAACCCAATATATTCACCTCTAACCCAATATGTTCACCTTCAACCCAATATATTCACCATGTGAGTTACCTTTCAATTAGACGGTTACACTCATGCCTTGTCATTTTGAAATCATATTCATTCATAACATTGTGAAAATCCATTTTAGAGACAACTCCTACACCAGTATGATCAAAGTGCTCAAAGCCCATGCGAAGAGCATGAAAATTAAACTCCATCTGAAATAAAACAAATAATTTATAGTTAGAAAACAATGCAAGTAAAACAAGTAATTGCACAACATATAACCTGTGAGTCCTCATGTTTTAGAAATATAAAAAGTTTGAAATTGAACAGTCTCGAAAAAAAAATGC